GTGTGGATTAACCAGCAGATTTGCCCCCGTGTGATAACATCCTATGGCTTTTGTACTTAGGACACATGATAAAATATGACTCATCCCAAAAAACAACAACACAAATAAATCGAAATTACGGCAATGACAACGGCAGAAACCCACAAGTGATGGGGAAAGTACAACCCACAAGTGATGGGGAAAGTAGGCAAAGAGGAAACTGCGCAAAAAATGGATTGACTCATATGTCAAGGAAGTCGCAGCCTTGAGTCTGCAAGACTTAGTAAGAGCAATAAACAATAAGGTCTCTTGGAGATCACTGATTCCTAGGGTTGCTGCAAGCTAAAACTGACATGACAGCACATAATACACACACACACACACACACACACACAGAGTCATTCCAATATATATTTTATCATCCTAGTTCCTAACAAAAGCAAAACATGTGGGTTGGTGAGATGCTACATGGGGTTGTATGTACCTATGGCATCACTAAATTTAGCAGGCTTGATTTGTGACAAAAATTAATTTATTTGTCTTTTTGTATTTGCTTTCTGTATTAAAGCAAGTAACAAAACAGAAATGAATGTGTCTGTATGCCTGTGTGCAAGGGGACGTGTGTATTTGCTCAGCCATGGAACCCCTTTGGGTGACCCTGGGCATGTCACACACTCTCAGCCTCAGAGGCAACTCCTGCTAAAATATCTTGCCAAGAAAAAACTAGTTGCCTTTTAGGCCACAATGGTTCTCAAACATTGATCCTCCAGATTATTTGGACTTCATCTCCCAGAAGACCCAACCAGCTTGGCCAATAGTCAGGAATTCTGGGAGTTGAAGTCCAAAACATCTGGAGGACCAGAGTTTGGGGACCACTGCGGCTCAGGGTCACTCTAAATTGGAAATGACTTGAAGGGATACAGCGGCAGGATCAATGGCAGCAAGAATAAAAGCCGACCGGTCTAAAATTGCCAAAATAAAAATCAGCCAGCCTGAAATTGCAAGAATAAAAATTAGTTGGTCTGAAATTGCAAGAGAAAATTGGTTAGGTTGAAACTCCAAGAATAAAAATAATCAGGGCTGAAATTGCAAGGATAAAAATTAGTTCAGCTGAAATTGCAAGAATAAAATTGGTTAGGCTGAAATTGCAAGAATAAAAATAATCTGGGTTGAAACTGAAAAAAATGAAATAATCTGGGCTGAAATTGCAGGAATAAAAATTAGTTGGACTGAAGTTGCAAGAGTAAAATTGATTAGGCTGAAACTGCAAGAATAAAAATAATCTGGGCTGAAATT